ATTGAAAAAAATGAACTTTTTGCTTCTTTTAAGTAGCAAGGTTTATGCCTTTGATGCAATCATTTAGCTGCAAATTCTATTTTAGTTGAAAAATGCTATAAAAATGGCTTTACATGATGAACTGATACTTTCTTAACAGATTTTTCCCAGCAGTGGGAGTATTTTTCCTGTAAAATTCAAGGTTTCATCTTATAGATTATGTAATAAAATTCTACTGTTCGCGATCAAAATTTCACTGTTCGAGGGTGTTGAAATTAGTGGGGGTTATTAAAATAATGATACTTAAAGAAGTGATTTTTTGGAAGGAAATTGAGGTATGATACTTAAACAAGTGATTTTTATGTCATTATCCTAGATTTAGTACAAGGTCATCACCTGACATGACCCGGTCATCCTATCAACACAGATGTTGGTTCTGATAATTTTAGCAACATAATTAGTCCCTGGATCATTAGTATTCTATATTTAAAGCTACAATAAAATTTAATCACTTGGTCTAGTGATTAATTTGTAATACTTAAATAGGTGATTATTAAAGAAAGACAACTCTTACTTCCAACCTTTATGGTCATAATGTTACTTGAATCAGTGATTTGGAATATCACTCATTTAAGTAAGTCCCCTGACTGTTAATGTATAAAAAAACAAAACTTATGTAGGACGGACAAATGGACTGGTATTGATACAATTTACCAAGTCTGTGTGGTATTATAAGATATTATATCCAATGGCATTGCACGATTATAGCCCTATTCACCAGCAAAAGAGACCCGGGTCAGTCATGCCAATCTAGTTTTTTTTAATACCAATAACAAATATTAATTATCATATAATTGAAGAATAATATGAACGTCTTCGTAGCATTAGATCTTTCACGATCCTTTTCACGATCTTCAAAAACAGGTACGTGATCTTTCACGATCCGAAATATCAATTTTGTGTGAATATTTCTTTGTTTACCAAGTTTCAGATAATGTTTATACAAAATAACTATGAGATCCATTTGATGCATTCAAATAGAATGCCCTTTTTCGAAGAAAAATAGTTTATTTTATTGGAATTTGTGAAAAAATCATATTTGTTTACATTTTTGATGTCACTGAAATGTCGAGGAGCAATATGCCTTTTGTTGTTTTGTAAAAACTATGTACTTTTAGAACTGGATTTTCTCACATACTGATCATAATGTTCAACCATTTTGACAGACAGTTTTATTTTGTTGTAAATTTGTCCGTGTAATTATTTAAATTAGATTATTTAATGTCTTTTCATATCTCTTCTCGATTAAATTTCTTTCACGATCGTCTCGCAATACTTGACCTCCGTTAGATATTCTTTCACGATAATTTCTCTCGATAAACCGAATGACACCCGTGTTAGCGAGTACACACACATTTTGTATTCAGACAATGTACATTTATTGTTTATATCCTACAATTAATAACCGGCGCTTTAAGGTTCGTGGCATATAAACTCTTATGTATTTAATTATTTTGAAAACAAAATGAAAATTATGTCTAATGAATAACCATGATGAAATAATTGTTTTTTCCATAATTGAATCGTGCATTATGTGTATTGGATTACTTAGTTGCCTTCTGTCTAGTGCTATCTATTTTGTTTACTAACAAATGACGAAATAATGCAATAGTTAAAATTAAATATTTTACAAAACTTTGTCACGATTAAAAAATTAAAACCGACTGAATGAATTAAAATATGAGAATTCAATGATTATCGATGTCGAAATTAGCCGTCGGTAATAAACAGTCAGTTTGTGTAAAAGAAATAGCTACCAAATTTGTTTATTATGTATGTACAAAGTATATGCCGGTATATTGTATATAATCAGCCCTTCTGTATATTACTTGTTTTTATAATTGATTCAACAAATTTCCTTGTCCAGGTGTCAATAACGGTGATGTTTACACCACGAGTAGTGATAAATGACACAATAACACAGCGATCGATCAATAATATAAGTAAAAATTGCGTGCCGTATGCTGAATGTCGCCCCTCCTCTGAAAAAGGACGCTAATTTTTATATAAAATCTCGCAAAATTATGACCCATATTTTGGCACATCCCCGTTCAACCAATAATAGGAAGTGAATTCGTCACCATCATGGTTTCAAAGAGAAAGTAAAACGTTAAACGCCGGATTGTCGTCCAATTAAAACACTCGTTACATTGTTCTTTTGTATATTTAGAATCCGAGATAAACCTAGATTTTCTCGAGAAATGAGATAATTCATTATCTGAAATTGAGAAAATTAATTATCTGGAGATAAATTAGGATTATCTGAAAATCGATCAGAAAAACCTAGATTTTCTTAATATTTTGAGATAAACCGGGATTTTCTCCAGATAATGAATTTTCTGTATTTTCTGAGATAAACTAGGATTTTCTCGAATTGAATTAAGCTGAGATAATCTTAGTTTATCTGAGATAAACCGGGATTATCTGAGATAATCCTAGTTTATCTGAGATAATCTAAGATTAATTGATAAAAGTGGTTCAGGCGTGCCATACATATGTTATCACAATTTTTGATTTTTTAGCCCTCAATAACAAATGTATGTTATTTTTCTCTAATAAATTATTTAAGTTAGACCCTTGACTGTTAATAATGAATCTCATTTCTAAAGGCAGAATTTTGAATTATTCTTCTTTGTTCATAATTGTTCATTTGTACTATTTTAAGAACAGATATATTCATACACCTTTCACTGCTTTGTATTTTTTAATAAAACGGTTTAATGTATTTTTAAACACATACACATCATCTTGTAAATTAAAAATTCGTAAGGGTTCCGCGGAACCTAGTGTCTCGCCTACTTTTTCTGTTAATCACAGGCTCAACAAAAATGAGGAAGTAAATCAATAAAAATATTCCTCTTGATACTATCTTTTGATTGTAAGAAGCTTCTGTCCAAGATTGGTAAAAATCCAGGATAGTTTATGAATCTAATAAATGTTTAAAAACTTTAACTGCAGACTGAATGTAATGTTAACTGGAAGAAAACAAAATTTCCTTCTAGATACTAGCATTTGATCATAAACAAGCTTCTGTCCAAGTTTGGTACAAATCCAAAATAGTATAAGAACGTTATTAAAATTTTAAAAACTTAAACCACAGAGTGAATGTGTTGTTTCCTGGTAGAAAATCTAAGTCCATTGAAAAGTAAAATATGGAAAAAATGGATTTATTTTTTTACAAAATTTCCTTCTAGATACTAGCTTTTGACCATAAACAAGCTTCTGTCCAAGTTTGGTACAAATCCAAAATAGTATAAGAAAGTTATTAAAATTTTAAAAACTTTAACCACAGAGTGAATGTGTTGTTTCCTGGCAGAAAATCTAAGTCCATTTAAAAGTAAAATAAGGAAAAAATGGATTTATTTTTTTACAAAATTTACTTCTGGATACTATCTTATGATTATAAACAAGCTTCTGTCCAAGTTTGGTACAAACTCAGGATAGTTTAAGAAAGTTATTAAAATTTTAAAAACTTTAACCACAGAATGAATGTAATATTTCCCGGCAGAAAAACTAAGTCCATTTATAAGTAAAATACGGAAAAACAGGCATTTTATTTTTACAAAATTTACTTTTGGATACTATCTTATGATCATAAACAAGCTTCTGTCTAAGTTTGGTAGAAATCCAGGATAGTTTAAGAAAGTTATTGAAATTTCAAAAACTTTAACCACAGAGTGAATATTTGTGGACGCCGCCGACGACAACGACGCCTCCGGAATGTAGGATCGCTTTGTCTCGCTTTTTCGACTAAAGTCGAAGGCTCGACAAAAATCAGAGTAAATTTTAGATAAAATATGCATGACAAGGGACGGATTGAATCTAACAATCATTCTCCTCACAGCACAATATTATTTGAACTATCAAAGGTCATAATGAAGGAAGAGAAAAGATGGACAGTGACACGAGAACACGTTTTGAATAAGACCGAGATTACAATGAAGATTGCAGATTGTAGATCTTGTGTTGCTAACAAGTGGAGAAGATCTTTTAAAAATAAGTAAAAAACTGTTGTTTAATGCTATAACTCCTTTAACATGTTTAAGGTCATCCAATTGTTATGGAGTCTTTTTACCGGTTGTTTTTTATCTATTATAGTTTTTTTTAAAGATAATAAATAAAAACACTAAAATTAATCCAAAGTTGTCAAGTTAAGTTTATAGGTTAAATAAAGGTAACAGTAGTATACTGCTGTTCAATAGTCATAAATTGATTGAGAGAAAACAAATCAGGGTTACAAATTAAAACTGAGGGAAACACATCAATTATAAGAGGAAAACAACGGAACAACAGAACACTGAAGTGCAACAAAAACAAACGACACCGCAACATACATAGAAACGAACTATTAGATAAACACATGAAACTAGCAAAAAAAAGGAAATGATCATTTAAGGGCAATCACTCTTTGAGGAGTCATCTGGTAATTTTGATGCAAACAAGGAGATAGATCTTGATATTCTAGTCCAATAGTGGAAGATCTTAGAAAGGATTTACGAATATGACTGATCCCAAGTTATGGCAATAAATCATACAGCCCAATTTACCAGGTAAGCTAAAAATGGGGCGATCAATGGCATAACAAAGTGAATATATATATATGTGATTATATAATTACGAGAAAGAATCATTGAATTTAAAATTTCCTTTGCTAATGGAACTCTATGGATACATTTTTCACAAATGTTTGTCACGGAATAGAAGTTCCTTCATAATATAAGTTCCAAATGGAAACAATATTCTGGAATATTATTTCCACTGGAATAAATATTACAGTAAATGTTCCTAACGGAATAAATGGTATAGAATATTTGTTCCAACAGGAACAAATATTATGACATTGTTTATAACAAAATTCCAGTGGAACTTCTGTTAGGCGGAACAAATATACGTTGACAACTTCCTCTGTAGAAACTTACAATCAAATGTGTCTATTAAAAGTATTTAAATATTTCACTTACCCATGGTGTTTTATTGTGTTGATCTGACCATTCGTCAATGAACATGTGTTTAATTTGACATGTATCACATTGATATTCTGTTATAGGCTTTTTCCTGAATTGTTTTGATCCTGTCACACACTTTGGCTTTGTAAGGCCACATTCCCAGGTTTTCTCAAATTTTACATTTGACATCTTGAATCTTGAATGCATGATTGTGTTTAATTCCTCTGTCACAAAGTCGGCAATGTCTTTGCATAAACCTCTTGTTATTTCTGTCCCAAATTCCCAAACCTGAATCTGAATAAAATTTTGACGTGCCATTACAAGTAATTTTCTTAATTTCGTTGTTTCATGTAACTCAAAGACAGCAGTGCCTTTGAAAAGAACAATTTGTCTTTCCTCCTTTTCATGGTCAACCACTTCTGCAACTGTATACTTCCTGTTCAGTGAAGCAATCAAATGATTGATAAGATGTGGTGGTAGGAACCTAAATTTAAAACACAACCAAGTTGATCTTGTATTGATATCTTTCGTTACATTAAGCATTTCATAAATGTCATCTTCTGGTTCTGTTTTAATCATACAAGGTACATAAATGTTATCAGCACCTTCTGATCTCTTTGGACGTATAATGATATCAAATTTCTCCATTACATTCAGGATATGGTCTTTATGTTCATACAAAATTGTTGTCTGGTTTTTAAATATATCTTCTAAAACCTCATTATTTAATTTGCCAGTTTGGAAAAATTTGTCCCACCATTCTTGATTTTTAGTACTAGCTTGGAATTTCTTTGCTGTTACTATACATTTAAAAGCATCAGACAACCATTGTGTATCTAAAATAATATATCCTGGAAGATCTGCAAAATAAACTAAAGCTCTGAGTGCGTGGTGAAATTCCAGGAATAATAACAGTTCTCGCTCACTTAAAGCCTTTGGTGTGTTTGAAGAAATGTCCCTAATTTCCTGATAAGAAATAATTGGCAACTTTTTCTTCTCTTCTTGAAGCCTCTGTTCAAGCTGAATAAATTTTAAAGGATACTTATTGTTCCATGTATTTAACTTTCTTGCTAAGGTTAAGATGTCTTCCCGTATCTGCTTGAATACACTGTGATCATCATCTTTATTAGAAATAAGATATTCACACTTGTCCCTTAAATGTCGACGTTCATCCTTTGACAACTGTTTCGTAAACTTCAAAAGGTTTCGTCTGCATGCTTCCTCTAGCTACAAAATGAAGTATCTGTTTTGTTTAATTAGTCTACAAATAAAACTATCAAACAAATAAATGCACTGAGCGTATAGAAATTATTCAATTATGAAGCTAAATAAATAATTATACTAATATTAGCAATTGCAAAACAGCTTTACTTTGGCAATTCATTGACCTGTTTCAATAAGGTAACATTTGTTTGTTAAGTCAACTAACCACACAAGAACAAAGATAATATGCCATATTGTCTGGAAGTATTTGTTGTGTTTTATGATCTTTATACGTAACTGCAAGACAGCCTTGAATAGCATAACATGGGGTCATCAATATGATACACCATTTTATTCAGCTCATCTAAGTGTTCACCAATTTTCGTAATTTCATGAAATTTTACAAACATCATTTACTTAATAGATATTTCTTTCATGTCGATGCTTTATGCGTATGTCAACATTGGTAGGCAATATATTTGTCGATATCTTTGCACTGAGCATTACGAAAAAACATTATTTCTATTTCCTTATTTTAACACGAAAAAGGTGCTTCTTCTGTTTTTTGTTTTGTTTTAAGTAAACGTCTTTGCTGTAGGTATCACATGATTACGTACCAACTGTCCATTTCCGAAAAAAACAGATTAACGAATAAAATGAATGATATGATACATCTTAATTTATTGCAAATTTTCAGCCATACCTAAGTACCAAAACGGATTAATAATTAACATTTTTGATGGATACATAATGTGCTACGGCATGGATTTTAAAATGATCACATAATCCGACCCCAACATTTTCAGGTCTATGATATTTCATGAAGCATGACCAAGTTTGTTCAATCTCCCATTAAACCATGTACACCACTTACTACTGATGATGTATTAAATATTATTTTCAATTTGCATACAATATTTCAGTTCATGCATTTAATCTTGACCTATATTTTTTTTCAAAACATTATGTGAAGCGATAATTATTTATCTATTATTTGCAACATGAGAATAAGCAATTGCAAAATAAAAATCTGTGCAATGTTATTGAAACTGATTTTTTTTTCCAATTGAAGTTGATTTTTTTACAACAATCGAATACAATGTGCTTTTGAATGTTTATGGTTTTATACATAAAGTTGAAAGTCACAAAATGAAATAAAGAAATGAGCCCTGTTCCTTTGCATTTTGTGTTTTTTTTTTTTTGCTGTGCATGTACCGATTTTGTGTCATGGATGGATTCCCAATATCCTTTGTTTTTTTATTAAATATAGCTTATTTGTAATTTACACAAAAAGTTAAAGCAAACCGATAAACGCGTAAAAATTATAAGTGCAAAATTTGTACAAAACGCCGGCTAAATACTGACTAACGGACACAAATTAAACACGTTTCATTAGGTATACAATAGACATTTTCATTATGATCGTGTAAATGTAAACGTAAATATAGTAAACGCGAAAATTGAGGTAAACAAACAAAAAGGTTTTCAATAGTTGTGCATGATAAATGAGAATTCACATTCCTACTTCATGGTTCGAAATTAAAACTCTGTGTTTGCAATGATCAAAACTTAATGCCTGGATAGGAAAAAAAACTTTTTGTCCTTTCAGCATACACTGAATATAAAATGGACATCCTTTAATCTAAAATTGAAATTAACGTTGATAGGCCTCACCAACCAAAATTTATTCCTTCTTTTTTTAATAAAAACAATATTGATCCTCTCACTTCCGTTAAATATTTTTAGATAATAATAAATGTCAAATGATTTAAAATCCTTAGACAGAAGTTACTTTGTGTATAAATCAATGCACGTTTCCAAGAGATACATGAAATTAACCAAAAACAGGCGAAAAGGTTTAGGACAGCCCAGTCTACAATTAAAAGAAGGTTAATACAGATTCAGTATTTGCATTGTGCATTTGAAATCAGACTTAATAACATGAACAATATTTGTGTTGTTATATGTTCAATTGTAACATCAGAGAAATGGGACAGTGGGACATAAGACAAAGACACTTCACTGTTTTTTTAATATGGCAAATGTGCCTTTTTCATTTGTTGTGCTTGTGTGTCATGAAAATATGAAATGTCTTTTGGTTATTTGTGTTGTTGAGATGTTGTCTTAGTGACCAATACCCAACATATTTAATTTAATTTATATTCTACAGTTACCAAACCTTAGTTATATTTCATAAAATGTTACGTTATGTCATCAACGGAAATCATTATAATTTGTGAGGTGTGATTTTTGTTCAGCCATAACAAAAACATAAGAGTTTGCAGATAGACAACCTGATTCATATTTTATTAGCATGCTATTTCAACAGGTTATATAAGCATGCAACTTGAATATCATTTGTAAACTGATCATAAAAGTCTTCCATATGACTGCATGATTCAAATTGTGTTCCACGCATAAACTTTAGTTCAGAGGAAGAAAATGATTTTTTTATAAAGAGGAAGGGCTCTTTTCTTTAAATTATGTTACGACTAAATTTTAAATGGTTATACTCTTAAATGTTAATAACGTTCGAGCATGTTTCCTTGAAAGATTTGTGAAATGAGCCTCAAAGCACGGAGGCTTGGACAAATATTTTTTGTCTTGATTATTTGATCATTTAAAATCTGAATATTTCTTATCCTCCAAACTAAATCTTTAAGTTTTGCATATATATACAAAATATTCAAAACATAAACTATCATGTAAAAAAATGTATTTGATGAAAGAACAAATTAATATAAACATGATAAAGGAGACCATCAAGCTCAAACGTAGAAACCTACAGCGCCATAACAAAAACATAATTCGTTATTGTTTGCTTAACATCCAGTCTAAATATATCATGTAAGTTAAAAATAACCAGAATATAAGAGTCTAAATAAAGTCCTATAAAAATATACATGAACAGTAGATGTGTGTCTGAATCCTTAAAAAATAATCCATACTTTTCCTGTTTCAAAGGCCACAGCATCTTTCCAAGTGCCAACAATAACTACTGGTGGATTAATATCTGTTGACGATATCGTGTTGTCATCAGAATTATTTTTGTCGTCTTCCAGTCTACTGTAGCAATGTATTGAATCCATCCATAATTTGAATAAATCTGAAAATTGATTGTAGAGTGATTTCATATGTGCATTTATTCAAGTGTTATTAATGTTGACCGTTTTCATATATTTACAGCTCTTCTATAAAAGCATGCAAAGCAAACCTTTGATCAACTTGCTTGCTAGGTTTGCTTGGCAAACAATAGGTAGGCGGAGTTTCAGTCTGTTTTGTATATACTGGAATTTGATTAGACAATAAAAATTGACATACAATGAAGTTAATGTTTATTGTCCAATCAAATTCCTGTATATAGTAAACAGACCGAAACAGACTACATACCTTTTGTTTACAAACATCCAAACAAACATAGCAAGCAAGTTGATCAAAGGTTTGCTTTGCATGCTTTTATAGAAGAGCTGTAAGGTGTACCATGAAACAACTTTACTGATATGTAAATTGGAATCAATATACAAGGATGATGAAACCCTTCATGAAGTGTCCACCATTCGAATAGCACTTAAATCTCGGTTTATGTTTTATTTTCCTACTCTGTAATAAGGATTTAATGAAATTAGGGATATTCACAAGATTATGTGATAAAGTACTGTTTATATATTCAGGAAGCTGGATTTTTCTTCTTAGGATTTGTGACACCATTAAAGTAATGAATATAAGACTAAGTATAAGGATTTTTTAAATTATTAAAAAAAAAAATTTGTAAGGGTTCCACGGAACCCAGTGTCTCGCCTACTTTTGCTGTTAATCGCAGGCTCAACAAAATGAGGAAAAAAATTAATAAAAATATTCCTCTCTATACTATCTTTTGATTGTAAGTAGCTTCTGTCCAAGTTTGGTAAAAATCCAGGATAGTTTATGAATCTAATAAATGTTTTAAAAACTTAAACTGCAGACTGTGTGTAATGTTAACTGGAAGAAAAACTAAGTCCATTTATAAGTAAAATACGGAAAAAATGGAACAAAGTTTTAACAAAATTTTCTTCTAGATACTAGCTTTTTATCATAAACAAGCTTCTGTCCAAGTTTAGTAACAATCCAGGATAGTTTAAGAAAGTTGTTAAAATTTTAAAAACTTTAACCATAGAGTGAATGTAATGTTAACTGGAAGAAAAACTAAGTCCATTTATAAGTAAAATACGGAAAAAATGGAATTTTTTTTTCAAATTTACTTTTGAATATTATCTTATGATCATAAACAAGCTTCTGTCCACATTTGGTAGAAATCCAGGATAGTTTAAGAAAGTTATTAAAATTTCAAAAACTTTAACCACAGAGTGAATATTTGTGGACGACGCCGGCGACAACGGAATGTAGGATCGCTATGTCTCGCTTTTTCGACAAAAGTCAAAGGCTCGACAAAAATTCAAAATTGTAAAAATTTAGGAAAACAAGAAATTCAAAACCTTTAGCTTTTGCTTTTTAAGACTTTTGTATACATAATTGGTGTGTGGTATGATTTCTAATGAGAAAACAATCAACTTTAAACAAGAAACTGCCAGATTAACCGCAAATCTGATTTTCCTGCATGAAAATGGTTTTTGCATATCTGGACCTCCAAAGAGGATCAAGTATAAAAAATAAATGAACTGCTGTAGGGTTCAGAAATGGAAAGGCCAAAATCAATCTAAACATCACTTTCAATACTTAAGTCTACAACTCAAAAATGGTAAAAGGTAAAATCGTGGAAATCGATCTTGACCTTCGTTTTGTCACAGGAAACAATATATATAAATTTGAAAATTTTTGTCAAAGCCTTTTTAAGTAAATGCACGGACACTTTGGTAGCTGTCCGGCCGCCACCATACATCACCAAAAATAATAACCTAACTTTTTCTTCGGAAATCAGGTTAATAAGAATATAAGGAGGTACACAACAGTTTTGTTACACAAACAATAAAACTGAATTCTCACTAACAACAAGAATGATTGTAACAGGATGCTGTTACGAAGTCTCCCAAACGAAGCTCCCATAATTCGTCATTCCTATGGTCGCCTGACATTGAACAAAGTCCAGTACAAATTGGTTTGGTCCAGTAAAGTGATATGCATTAGTGACACCTAGGCACTGACCCTGCATGTCATTCAAATCTATGCGAAATGATGAATAGGAATATATATGGTTTAGGGGTGGGGATCTCGACCATTTACAAGGTATTAGAACATTTGGATTGGGGTGACCCCTGGGGACTGACCCTGTATATATCATTCAAATCTTTGTGACATGACAATCAGGAATATATATGGTTCAGGGGTGGGGATCTCGACCATTTACAAGATATTAGAACATTTGGGGTTGGGAGAACCCCTGGGGACTGACCCTATATATTATTCAAATCTTTGGAACATGATGAACAGGAATATATATGGTTAAGGGGTGGGGATCTCAACCATTTACAAGATATTATAACATTCGGGGTGGGGGAAACCCCTGAAGACCTTTCCTATATATCATTCAAATCTTCATGACATGACAAACAAGTATATATATATGGTTTAGGGGTGGGGATCTCAACCATTAACAAGATATTTGAACATATTCAAATGAATGGGGGTGGGGATGACCCCTTGGGTCTTACCATGTTTATCATTTAAATCATCTTGGCATGACAAACCAGCATATGTATGGTTTAGGGGTGGGGATCTTGACCACTTACTTACAAGATATTAGAACTTTCTCAAATGGCAGGGGGTCGGGACGGACCCCTGGGGGCTAACCCTGTTTATCATTCAAATTATCTCGGCATGACAAACCAGAATATATATGGTTATGGGGTTGGGATATTGACCACTTCCCAGATATTAGAACTTTCTCAAATGGTAGGGGGTGGGGATGACACATAGGGACAAACACTGTATTTCATTTGATGTGCTTTATCATGACAAACCAAAATATATATGGTTTAGGGGTGGGGATCTTGAACACTTTCAAGATATTTGAACATATTCAAATGAATGGGATGGGGATGAACATTTGGGTCTTACCATGTTTATCATTTAAATCAATCTTGGCATGACAAACCAGAATATATATGGTTATGGGGTTGGGATATTGACCACTTCCAAAATATTAGAACTTTCTCAAATGGTAGGGGGTGGGGATGACCCCTAGGGACAAGCATTGTATTTCATTTGATGTGCTTTATCATGACAACCCAAAATATATATGGTTTAGGGGTGGGGATCTTGACCACTTCCAAGATATTAAAACTTTCTCTAATGGCAGTGGGTGAGGGTAAAACCCCTGGGGACTAAGCTTTTATTTCATTTAATGTGCTTTATCATTTAGACCATTTCAAATTATAAATATTGTGTCTATCACTAACTAAAAAAACTAAAATCCCATAGGGTTCTATAGTAAACCCCTCCTTCCTTTGTGCCCCTCAAAGAACCCCTATATAAACCCCATTGAACAAACAAAACCCTGATTGCACCACTAGACATGTTAGTCTAACATATTGTGAAACCCTAAGTTAATCTGACCAGTGGTTTTGGAGAACGGGTGCGGACAAGTTCGGCGGAAAAAGAAGAAGAAGAAGAAGAAGAAGAAGAAGAAGAAGAAGAAGAACTGAGCAAAAACAATAAGTCTTCCCAATCTTTGTTTAGGAGACTTAATAACTTAAAACAATAATCTGAAAGTACAAATCTGTTGTGAAAAGTAAAAAGTGAAATAACAGAAATACAGAACACCAAGAAAAATTGGAATGTCCCTTATCAAACGGCAAAATCAAAAACTCAAACACATCAAACTAATGAAACAACTGAAAAGTAAAATATTCATCTTTTAAAAAAAATACAAATCAATTATTTTACTGCAGATATTAAAGTCACATAACTTATTTTTAATTCTAATTTGATAACCTCAACATCGTCAACCAGTATCATCTCAGTATAATTACTTTTAGTACAATGAGAACATGTAAACTCAATTTACGACAGTCAAACCCACATCTAAAGTAAGCCCTGCTTCAATTACAATATGGAAGTCCCTTTTCCAAAGCAAAATAAACATATTAGTCCTTTTTAGTTATTATTTCGGTGTAAAATTTCATGAAATGATGTTTTCGTCTATGAAAAATTAACAAGATGACATCATATGTATGCATCAGGTGTCAAAAGTGAACATTGGGCGCTCTCAGGCTGACGCCTCAGAATGTTATAAAATTAGATAAAAAGAACATTTGAGGTGTCAAATGTGTCTTTTTTTTTATATTATTATTGAATTATATAATATTATTAATATTTTTATATGGGGATGTACATTTTCAGGCTTCTTGTACGCCTCAGAATGAAATACAATTAGATAAAAAAAAAAAACATTTGAGGTGGAAAATGTGATTTTTTAAAATTTATTACTGAATAATATAATACTATTAATATTTTTATAAGGGGATAACACAGAACAGCCAAAACAGTATTGTGTGTAAAGGGCTTTCATGGTCGACACAATCACCATATTTGTTCTATTAGAATCGAAATAATTAATTGCAGCCGAAGATGTGTTTTCATTTAACCAAGGGTTGCTCATTGATGTTCATATTTTTCGACTCATTTTTGCTCGAGGTAAAATAATTGAATGTAAATACCTCACTCATAATTAATGAAAACAAAACATGGCTGCCATGAATTATTTCTTAAACAAGACAAAGTGGTTCAACTAAAGTAGATTGTCACCAATGATGTAGATCTGACCTCTGAAAACTAATCCACATTCATGCCATTTACTTTAGTGTATCATTCAACTGGATAACATTTTGAATGAAATTACATGAGAAAGCAAACAAATAACCATGAAAAACATACATTTCCTGGTCATTTCTTTTGTTTGATCTGATAATTTGGACCAATGGAAGAATATTCAAAAGTTGAAACCACATGTTATATTCATATAAATATGATAACTGTGTTTATTATTATTCATGCTAAATTGCAATTTTTGTTAATTACAAAGTGACACATCGTGCTCTGGGTAACAATATTGCAAATAAATGCTACCCTCTGCAAAACAATAAAAAAAATGATAATACTATTAAAGGCAAAATTTTTATCTTAAATCAATGCAAAAAAGAAAACATTTTGAAAATTTTAATTTAAGGGACAATCCTACCAGAAAATAATTAAATATAACATAGCTGAGAGGGTGATAGAGCAGATTGATACCTCTGAGAAAAAATTGTTAAACTAGGTGTCAAGGTATAATTCTGCTATATTGCCCATCAGTTATGTGTTATTGTGGTATGAGGAACAGAAAATAACGGGCCTCTCTCTGTATGTTCGTAATAGTTCGTAACCCTTCATTTCTTGTATGATTGTTTAGAAACTTTAAATTAAAGGTTCATATTAGCAATTTCCGGGGTTAAGTTTGAAAATCAGAGGTGATCAATTATTTCTACAGAAGGTATCATCCCTTAAAAATGCTAACTATATAAAAAATCTCATTGTAAGACATCTAAAGTCTTCATTTCTTGTCACACAATGATGACATTTTATATCAAAGGTTTACATCGGTAATTTCTTGGACAAGTGCAAAAGTCAGTGCCCATATACTATTTTTACAGGAATTATGTTCCTCTGAAATGTTATTGTTATTGAATATTGCATTGTGAACACTCTCACACCTACAGTTCTTGACGGATTTTTGTAAAAGGAGAAGGTTTGGCCCCAAAATATAGCAGTTTTACAAAATAGTTAAATTGTAAACTTTAAGCTATTTATTGACAAGAAGAATACTTCTGTTACATAAATATGTGCTGTTTTTGACAATACAATGCACATGTATCGGGTACTACCATCATCAAGTCATGCTAAATTACTGAAATCTTTACATTTTTAGCATTTGAGTTAAATTTTAGACGGTTTCCGTCTTAAATGAAAATGGCCGCATTTGTTTTCATTCTTAATATTTAACAGTAAGTTGTATTTGATGATAATACATAACATATATAAAGGTTGAGAGTGAACATGCATGCGGCCACTTTCATTTTTGACAAAAAAACATCTGAAAAGTGACGTAAATTGGCATATTTGATAGATTTTTCATATCTAAGCTTGAATTTGAGCGTCTTTAATGACTAAATCAGTTCAAATCTTTCACATTAACTAATTGAATCGACACTTATGTGTTTAAAAAGTGTCCAAAATCTTTCATCGGATGAACCTGAAATTTGAGGCCCAAAATCGGCTCTTTCCAGACCTACTCCTTTATATAACATGTTAATGTCAGCAAGGTTTTGTAAGAGTTCAATAATAATCAATGCAAATCAACTTTTTCAACCCATTGGAAATCTAAATTGTTAAGATATTTACATTGTTAAAAATATTAAGCCATTTCTCGTAGGGTATTGATGAATAGTTTAAAAGATATCCAAAACATTTTTGTTTTGAAGTTATTGCCTTTGTTCAGATATAATTATTGATATGATAGTTCGCTTAACATGTTTCACTTACCAACGGAATAAAAATAAATTGATATAGTTGTAGTTCATGTTAAGAAAGTTTATTATCCAGTTTTGTAGAAATGTACCTTATTTACATTTTAGAGATTTTTAGAATCGTTTTATAGTAGGACAAAGTAATAATGACAATACACATTATAAATGCTTTTCAGTCGCAATGTATTTATTACCTATTAACCTTTTGTAAATTTTTTAAGCCTTAACACTATAAGTTATATCTTTAAACATGTAATAAATCTAAGAAAGAACAAAAAAAAATACCAAATATCACTTTATTACTTATTGATGATTGGTTGATTAATTGTTGGTGTTTAACGCTACTTTCAGCACTATAGGCTATATCGTGGAGGAAGCAGGAGTCCAACGCACCTGCCTCGTGTGTGGTTGGAACTCACAACCTCAACTGTGACAGGCTAGTGATACAATAGATTAATAACTCAGATAACTCGGCCACCGATGCCCGTATTACATATTGATCTATATGAAATATTACCTTGTGCTTCTTTGTTGTTGGCCTCATTGAGGTTTGTTACAACAAGATAAATTGCATCTGCAGACAGAAAGGTTTGATGTGTGTGGTAAAATTCTTCATCTCCTCCAAAATCCCATAGCAATAATGTGGCATACTCTTCTTTGTCGTGTAAATCAACTTTAGTGGTAAGCATTTTTTCAAAATCCCTTTTTGCCTGTTCAGTGGATTGGTTTGACTGATGGGGAGTTGCTGGAGGTTCTGCTGCTTCTGGAGATTTAATTATTTTCGGCTGCTGGGATACTGTCTGTGATTCCTTTGATTCATCCAAACTTGTTGCGTGTGTGCTGTCCCTCATTGCTACGTTTGGTTCTACTGGTTCTCCAACTTTGTCATTGTCCTGTAGTTTTTCCTCTAATTGTTTTCGTAGTCTAGCATAGGCTTCAGTGTCTTCATTGCTTCCTATCATTAGAAAATTAAAATATAAGTTTATTTCTGAGTAAGCCTATCATTAGAAAATTAAAATATAAGTTTATTTCTGAGTAAGCCTATCATAAGAAAAAATTAAAATATAAGTTTATTTCTGAGTAAGCCTATCATTAGAAAATTAAAATACAAGTTTATTTCTGAGTAAGCCTATCATTAGAAAATTAAAATATAAGTTTATTTCTGAGTAAGCCTATCATTAGAAAATTAAAATATAAGTTTATTTCTGAGTAAGCCTATCATTAGAAAATTAAAATATAAGTTTATTTCTGAGTAAGAAGAAATAAGAAAAAGTTTAGGACATAGGAATAACACCGTGTATCAATGGTACAGCGGATATCGGTACTAACCAAGCGGGGGGTGATCGATTTTTACCTGGAAAAGCTATTTACTATACATTCACTTAACTATGCACTGTACAGAAGGATTTATGTGGTCAGCTATACACCGTACACAATGCTTCTTTTCGGAATAAAATATAAAAAAATAACATATGTATGAAAGATTTCAATGCCAATTATTGAAACAGCTATACTTATTACGCACACACAGTGGCTTCTATCAGAAAAAGAGTTGCAATGAATATAGAATGATATCGGATGAGAGGAGCGCCAACTTCTTTGACAAGTATTTGCACATGTTTTTAGTAAGCATTCTTGTTTTGGGAAAATAATGAGACTTCTCTAATCATCAACCTACGACCAAATCATTTCTTAAAACAACAATTATGTTTAGATTGAAGTACACATTGAGATTATGTAAACAAAACAAAGATTTTCTTACCGTGTCAGGTCAAAATCGATCACGCCCGCTTGGTTAGTACCTATACAGCCCTCAAAGTAGGTTTAAAGACCAGGTTGCCTTTTGGCCACCAGATATAAAATTTCAGTGGCCAATTCAGAAGTTTAGTTGCCAGGAAATAATTTCATGTCGCCTAAGAAATTTGTTATGAAAGTCTAGTCAGTAAAGCTAATGAAGACTAGTAAAATAAATTGCTTCGCTGAGCGCAGCTGGATACGACCGCAGATGTCCAACCCTGAAAAGTTGGGGCCAAAATGGACACAATATTAACGATTGATACAGGTCAGAATTTGGATTGTAACTAAATTTTTGACACATAATACGTTTCTGACACAGAATAACTGTAGTCAAAGAACTTCAAATTGAGTTTCTTATCGACAACATATTTGTTGAATTTGGAGTTAGACTTTTTCAACAAATTGTCGGCATTCCTATGGGAACGAACTGTGCGCCTCTCCTTGCCGACCCCTTCTTATTTTCATATGAATCGCAGTTCCTTCAGACACTTGTCAAAAACAAGAAGATCAAAGAAGCCAGATTATTTAAATTCACTTTCAGATATATTGCTGATGTTCTTTCAATTAACAATCCGAACTTTTCTGATTGGGTTCCATTAATATATCTTCCAGAACTAGAAATTAAAGAAACACGCCCGCTTGGTTAGTACCTATACAGCCTTCAAAGTAGGTTTAAAGACCAGGTTGCCTTTTGGCCACCAGATATAAAATTTCAGAGGCCAATTCAGAATTTTAGTTGCCAGGAAATAATTTCATGTCGCCTAAGAAATTTGTTATGAAAGTCTAGTCAGTAAAGCTTATGAAGACTAGTAAAATAAATTGCTTCGCTGAGCGCAGCTGGATACGACCGCAGATGTCCAACCCTGAAAAGTTGGGGCCAAAATGGACACAATATTAACGCTTGATACAGGTCAGAATTTGGATTGTAACTAAATTTTTGACACATAATACGTTTCTGACACAGAATAACTGTAGTCAAAGAACTTCAAATTGAGTTTCTTATCGACAACATATTTGTTGAATTTGGAGGTAGACTTTTTCAACAAATTGTTGGCATTCCTATGGGAACGAACTGTGCCCCTCTCCTTGCCGACCTCTTCTTATTTTCATATGAATCGCAGTTCCTTCAGACACTTGTCAAAAACAAGAAGATCAAAGAAGCCAGATTATTTAAATTCACTTTCAGATATATTGATGATGTTCTTTCCATTAACAATCCGAACTTTTCTGATTGGGTTCCATTAATATATCCCCCAGAACAAGAAATTAAAGCAACAACAGACACGGCTTCCTCCGCCTCATTTTTAGACTTATATCTTGAATTTGACATACACAGTCATCTCAGTACCAGAATCTATGACAAACGAGACGATTTTAATTTTAAAATTACAAATTTACCCCATTTAGTAGCAATATACCAACTTCAGCTGCATATGGGATATACATTTCCCAACTTATTCGATATTCAAGAGCTTGCAGCTCCTACTCAGACTTTGTAAAACGTCACTAGTGTCTGAGCAGAAAGTTGATGAACCAGGGGTATGTCAAAGAACGTCTCGTCCTTTTTCTAAAAAAGTTCATCGGAAGGTACCAAGACCTTGTTGATAAATATTCTCTATCAACTTCAGAAATATTACATGATGGGGTTGAAGTATAGATTCTGCGTACTGACGTTGTTTATCATCTTAACAACGTGTTATATTGTTCTTTCATTTGTCTTTTTTCTATTATTAATATTACTTTTACTGTTTGGTTTGTTTTCTGTGATATCCATTTGACGTGGCTAGGTACTTATACATCCCGTCAATGTGTTTGTATTATCTTTCATTTTTGCTGGTGTGTTTTGTATATGCGATTTTTTGTGTTTCTTTGGTTCTTATAACGTGACTCTGTACTTTAAAAGATCCCGTCATTATGTTATTGTTCTATTATATGTCTATTATAAATTTGAAAATACTTTGAACGACAAAAGACAAATTTATTTTACTCGAGTAGTGGTATTAACCATATGTGGATTCTTAAAAATTCTAAAGAACTTCTGGACAATTTTAAATCTCGATCTATTTCTGAAATTAATTCTAACATAACTTTTGATTTTTTAACCCTGTATACCAAACATTCCCCATGTGAAATTATGAAATTGTTTTGAATAAACATTGAACGACAAAATGTTTGATTTTGCCATGTGATTAGGGACTTTCCGATTGAAATTTCCTCGGAGTTCAGTATTTTTGTGATTTTACTTTTTATTGGTTATATGATTTGAAATTATGTTCAATTTTTGCTTTTGTGCAATACAGTATGCTGTTGAATATTAACCCCCAAAAAAAAAATATTTGAAGAAATTTTCTTTTAATTTCTGAAATTTGAACCCCCCCTCCAATTTTTTTCACCTCCCCCTTTCCCTTATTCCCCAAATAAATGTGGATAGTGTCCACATGTGGACACAGATGATGCCCCCCCACCCTTGCATATCATATAGTTAAAAAGGGACATAACTGAAGAACGGTAAAAGTGACGCTACCCAAATTTGAAATTGATCTGAGTTTTGTGGTAATAAGCATTGTGTATAAGTCTCATAACATTTGGTTGAGGCTAACTTAAGTAGCGAACAGAAACTAATAAAATGCTCCGATGAGAGCAGCTTGATACGACCGCAGAGGTCGAACCCTGAACAGTTGGGGCAAGTATGGACACAACATTCAAGCTTGATACAGCACTGAATTTGGATTGTGATTAAATATTTGACACAGCATAGGTTTCTGACACAGAATGAATGTGGTCTAAGAATTTAAAAATTTTTAATTTACCTATTCAAACCATATCATTATTATTTGCTTTTATATATAAATCAGAAATAACCAATTTAAAATGGACAATTTTAAAGAAAAAAAAAGGAAAAAAAAATCCCTCCCCCAAATTTTTAGAACCCCCTTATGATTCATCAACCCCAAACTCAATCCCAGCCTTCTCTTTGTGGTATGGTACCTTGCGGTACAATTTCAGAGAGATCCATACACTTGAACACAAGTTATTGTCTGGAAACTAGAAAAAATGCTTGTTTTTAGGCCCCTTTTTGGCCCCAAATTCCTAAACTTTTAGGGCAATTACCCCCAAACTCAAACCCGGCTTTCCCTTTGTGATATGGAACCTTGTAGTACAATTTCATAAAGATCCATACACTTACACACAAGTTATTGTCCTTAAACTAGAAAAATGCTTGTTTTTTGCCCCTTTTTTGGCCCCTAATTCCTTAAATTTTAAGGCAATTACCCCAAAATCAATCCCAGCATTCCCTTTGTGATATGGAACATTGTGGTACAATGTCAGAGAGATCCATACACTAACACACAAGTTATGTCTGGAAGTTACAAAAATGCTTATTTTTGGCCCCTAATTCCTTAACTGTTGGTACCATAACCCCCAAAATCAATCCCAACCTTCCTTTTGTGGTATTGAACCTTATGGTAAAATTTCATAGAGATCCATTCACTTAAACTTAAGTTAGAGTGCGAAAACCAATGTGTCTTCGGACGACGACAACGACAACGCCATACCAATATACGACCGCAAAATTTTTTTGCGGTCGTATAAAAATTCAGCATTTTTTCTATTTGTAAACACGCATTACTCTAAACAATTGTGTATAAGTTTTATAATAATTGGTTGAGACAAAATAAAGTTAGAGAATGGAAATGAAAAATTCAGCAATTTTTATGTTTATAAAGGGACATAACTCAAGAATGGTAATAGTGTCGCCACCAAATTATGTTCTTAATCTGTATTATGTAGTAATAAGCATTGTGTATAAGTTTCATAACATTTGGTTGAGGCAAACTAAAGTTAGAAAACGGAAACAAAAAATGTGTACTTGATCTTAGTTTTGTGGTAATGAATATTGTGTATAGGTTTCATAATGTTTGGTTGGGGAAAACTTAAGTTACAGAATGGAAACTAAAAATTTTGCAATCTATAATGGTAAAAGTGACACTACCCAAATTCAACTTGATCTGTGTTTTATCAGTGGAAGTCAAAATTAAACATTGCATTGTATAAAGCATTGACTGTAGTTGATTCAACTATAATCATGGACAAAGGAAGATAACTCCAATTTTATAAAAATTACTTGATATTTAGAAGAAAATAAAAATTTTGCAA